GAATTGTAAAACTTTTTCCTTTCAAAGTTCTTTTCAGGGACACTGCTAGAGAATAATTTACAATGGTGGCTTTGCCTAAGGGCTCTTAAATCTCCTAAATGTTGCTCTCTAGACATTGGGTTGGCTAAAAAGTTTGTTTGGATTTTTCCATGTTATGGAAAAAGCTGAATGAACATTTTGGTCAACCCAATATTTATATTCTTCATTCTTTGGTGTATTGTCAGAAAATACAGAGCTAACAAAAAATATTTTCTCTATGTAAGAGGTTGGAGACATCACTATGACATTAGGAACTGCAAGGAACACCATCATGTTCCTGATCTATAATTTTCCTTTCACATACAATCCATTCTTGGATACCCACAGTAGTGGATTTTTAAAATTTTACTTAACAATATGGTCAACCCCAATCAAAACATTTAAAACTGCCTCCTTGTGCGCATTAGTCAAACTAAAACAAATTAGGGAAACATATATCCAGAAATATGTTACAAAACCAAAGAGAAATTAGTTTCAAGTATTAAATGGCTTACTGCAAAGCATATATTATTGTTTCCTTACATCATCGTGAAAAATGAGGGTACTGTAATTTCAAGACAGTCTGCTTGTGGTTGGTCCCAGTGGTCATTAGATGACTATTATCAAATAATTCAGGCTACAGAGGTCAAGGCTTATAGATATGATTTGACATATTGCTACCCAGTTCATTTTCACATAAAGTCCTCCATTTTCATCCAGACACTTAGTCATCAGTTAGCATGATGTAAATAAAACACAGTGAATCTTACAAAATTTCACCATAAAATGACTCAGTCTAGGTTCACATAATCTTTTAATGATGTCATGTACTGTATTGTGCTTTTTTTTTTCAAGTAAGTAAGGCAAGGATTATAAGTGTTCTGTGAAGTATTTCAATGCCACACTGTCAGTGCTCAATAAATTTTAAGTAGCAAAAAGTAAAGTTACAAGTTCTAAAGTCTTATTCTGACATCCTATAGGATGATGATATTTAAGATTTTGATCCTATCTCCTATAAACAAATGCTATAAGAGTATTCTATTTTTAAATTTACTTATTTTTAATTGAGGGATAATTGCTTTACAGTACTGTGTTTGTTTCTGCCATACATCAACATGAATCAGCCATAGGTATATGTAAGAGTATTTTCTTGTTTCAGCTTGGTACACAAAAGGTTTTATTTGATGCCTGCCAAGTATTCTGTTAGCTGTTTTTCCCTCTGAGATTCTGATCTGTTTACTTCTTTTAGTTTTTCATGGGAATTTGTGGCTGTGAGTGAACCCAACAAGCCTGTGACTTAACTTGGAAAATGGATTGAACATACTTTCGTTTTCTGTGAGTACATACTTGGTTTTCTTAATCTATCAGCCAAAGTACATTCTTAATCTTTTAGCAGCAGAGCTGACTTATTGTAAATTTCTTTCTAAGCCATAAAGGGTAAGTATGTGATTCCTTAAATCAGTAGTTCTCAAACTTGACCATGCAACAGAATCACCAGAGGAATTACCTCCTCTGGTCCTAGGGCCGACACTTTGAGACCCATTGTCTTAAAGTTGGGCATTTACATGGTCCTGTAAATAATTTGCCATTAAGCCTTTACTTTACTAATTTATGCCTCCTGTAAACAAAACCTACACTAAATTGACAGTCCCTTCTGTTGAAGTTATACAAGGTTCTAAGAAATCCCCAATTTAAACACCCCCCCCAAAAAAACCCCAAAACCAAAAAATTCTCTTAGACCAGTAAAAACCTTCTCATTTTGAAAATGTGATTCAAGTCTAAACAAAAGCCCTAGATTTGGAAACTAACTTCAGTTCCTGGAGTCATCATCATTCTGTTACATTTGGAAACATGTTTGCTCTAAAATAATCATTTGTGAGGCAATGTCACTTTATTCACCCAAAGGAAACAGGAATAACAGCACAGGAAGCACTGGGGAGCCTTAGGCCAATTCTTTTTGGAAACCACATTTAATTCACTGTTGCACAACTCAAACAGAGGAGGTGGTTAGGAAGTCAGGAAGGCATTTATGTCAACCAGAAATACTTAACAAAGAGAAATATCTTGAAATCATGGATGGTCTAGGAATATCTGAGAGGTAAAGAACTTGACTCCTTAGGTGACAACTTGTCAGGAATGTTCAAAGTTTCCCATTTTTGTCCACAGACCCTGAGATTGAACGTAAACTATCACCAAAAGAGCTCAGAACAAATAACTTCTTTGGGCTGTGTTTTCTGATGCTAAAATACTACTTAGGGGTTCACCCTACATGACACCAAAACTGACTGCTATTTGCTAGCTCATGAACACAGCTATGGTTTCTCCCCACATACAAACACTGATCTTCAAAGCCTGTAAGCCTCATTCCAGAAACTCAGAAAAATTCCTACTAATTTTTTCCTCCTTAGGATACAGTTTTCTCCTCCTTTGGTACCGTTTCTTCATATAAACCATCTTATCTAAAGAAAATGACTGCTACTTCAATGGAGTCTTTTCTCAGGAGCCAACAGTTAGAATTAGATTCTAAACTTCCTGGATTTATAATTGTCTCTTCCCATTTATCTCTCTACAACATTACCATTCCCTATGGGAAGGAGTAATCCATGAGTGACACCGGACTCAAATATCTGCCCCATTCCCAATCCCAAGGTTTATTCTCAATGTTAACACATGGATACAGAACACACATTTCAGCTAGTTCTTATGGATTCCTCTTCCCCAATACGTGGATTAAACCATGTGCAAAGTGAACAAAGAAATAATAACTAAGTGGAGTTTAAGTGCTATATCAGGAGATGTAACTGCTAACAAAAGTTGGAAAAGGGTGTTCTCAGAGAAAATAGAATGAAGCTTTTTTCATTGAGAAAGGTGATATGGGATGCCACCTGCTCTTGCCAGAGCCAGATCTCCCAAATGAAAAAACAATCAACATCCCACAGAATCTTGACTGCCTATTTGATGCCACAGTAAGTCCCAGCATTATGGAATGTGGATACTGACAGAGACCTCCTAGATTGGCTAGGCAAAATCCATCATTTTTCAAATTAGAAAACTGAGCCCCAGGGAGAAGACGTGCCTTAATTAAGGTTAAAGCGCCTTAGCTGTAACACTGAGGTCAGAACCTAGATTTTTTTTATCATCAGACCCCTGTTTTTATAGGCCCTTCCCTTTTTCTCAGGGAGTGGGGGTGGTGATTAATGTTGAATAAATGTAAACACCAATGGAGCAACTGCTTTTGCTAGGGAAAAAAAAAAAGCACAGCCCATTTTCCTCCTCCTCCTTGGGAGAGGTCCAGCATGTCCATGTGTCGAACCCAGCAGCCTCCCAGAATGAGAGAGTCCTTACAGACCCAGCAATGGGGTAGCGACTTCTTATGAATGATGCCAAGTGGGCATGTCTGCACCCAGCTCAAGTCGGTGTGGCTTTTCATCCTTTTCTTCATCATCATCGAATGAAATTACAAATATACTGCAAGTGTGTTTATATATATGCTCCTTCAGATTCAGCAAGCCTCATCCTGATTTCAGGTGTCCCAATGAGAAAAACAAAATTCCATTTGTGGCCTCTCAAATTAAAGACTGAGTTCAAATGAGGTTGCCAAGCCCACAGGAAGATGGCCCACACATGCTGATTCACCTGGCCCATCCTTCCACCCTGGCACTTATGCCCAGCAGACTCAGAGTCCCATGGGAATGATTCCTTCACAAGACACCCAAGAGGTAGATAAATGCAATCAGCCCCATGGGTGGGTGTAGCACATAGAAGCACAGAATTGGGTGTGTGGAGGTGACTTGAACATGGGACAGAAGGCCTGAAGGGTGAGGCCAGACCTCTGACTCTAACCATAGCACTCTCCCTGGAAGGCAAAGCCTTTGGTCATGAGAGAAATTCCCAGTATATGTGCGAGCGTGCATGCTTGGTCACTTCAGTCGTGTCTGACTCCACGACCCCGTGGACTGTAGCCCACCAGGCTCCTCTGTCCATGGGATTCTCCAGGCAAGAATACTGGAGTGGATTGCCATGCCCTCCTCCAAGGGATCTTCCTGACCCAGGGATCGAACCCACGCCTTCTGCATTCCCTGCATTGCAGGCAGATTCCTTACCCACTGAGCCACCTGGGAAGCCCCTCCCAGTACATAACAAATGTCTATAGCAGTGAAAGGATGGGATGGGAGCCAAAGAGGTGATGCTGGCTAAGGGTGACACACAACTTCTAAAGGAGTCTCTAGGAAGGAGCTGCCAATAAGGCAAATCTGAAGGGTTATGATCGTGAATGGGGGAGCCCGGGCACCTTAACCCCAGGTCACGCACGTCCCCCCGCCTCCCAGCGCCAGCCTATCTCCCGGCAGATCCAAGACTAGACAGCAAGGACCTCCCTTAGTAGAGAACTATGCTGGGTTGAGGTGACGGCAAAGACAGGCAGGCCTGATGGCTCAGCTTTCCCCTAACGTCCCCCTCAGCCTGAGGGAAGGGACAGGAGACGGAGGCTCGAATGGCACAACAAAGCCTCGAAGCCCCGCAGCTCCCACCAGAGCTGCTGTGAGTCAGGCCTGAGAACCAGGAATGCAAGGTAAACCAAGGTCCCTCTCTCTGGAACGAGAGTCCTTGGCCCTGCCCTCCTCTCCAAGAGACCGTCCTGAGAAGGAAAGTTGGCTGCCCACTGAGGTAATAAAGAACACCTGCTCAGCGATGTAGGCCACCCTCAGGTTAAGCAGGAAGACTCCCTGAAGGAAGGAGGCATTCTGAGGACAAAGACTGAGGAGCTTCGCTCATCTGGGACACAGGTTTTAAATTATACACTCCCCCTACACATATCACACATATACACACACACACACCCCCACACACACACCCACATTCTTCCAGCCCACCCCACTCCAAGCCCTCAATCCCGCCCCACAGGTGTTGCCCCCCGTAAACATGACAGCAGAGACGTCCGTGATCCTGGGACAGTCCAAGGGTGATCCTGGGATGGCTGCTCGTTAAGTGCCCCGGTAGGTGATGTTGGTGAAGGTGGATGTGGCTTCTTTATACAGTGGGTTGTTGGCCTGCAGAGAGAACAGAAGAGTGTCTTACAGCAAATTCCTCAATTCTTGCCTGTCCTGGGGGTTTACTTGTTATCTGAGAAGTTTACCCACGACACTCTTCTCTGAGATATACCATCAATGAACAGCGTGATGCTTGTAATACTCATTCATACATTTGCTCTTACAGAGGGAATGGGTAGGAAATAAGAGGAGAGAGAAAATGGCATGCCATCCTTCCACCATTCCTGAGGGGTTAAATTCAGCCCATCACTCTTGTGGATCCCAAAACCCTCCGAGATTAGCTTTTAGCCAATATCTCATATTTCCTCCTTCTCTTCTGAACTCTCTTTCTCCCTTTCGCCCCCCTTTTTTTCTTTGTTGTGACTGTGATAAGGGGCGCAGGCAGAGAAGATAGGTGTAGCAGGTGATGGTTGGAATACAGAGGACCACTTTTGCTCAAATGATTCTTAATCTGTTCTCATCTTATCCCTCAAGCCTTGCTCACAAACTGTCACATTATCAGGAAAAAGACCCTCACTAGGTTTCCCAAATTATTTTCTAAAAGTGACAAATCCCATTAGGTCTAATAGTCCTTAGTGGTAGGTAGCCTCAAGAAACACAACACATTCTCATGTGCCTTAGAGGGTCAGGATTTCTACATTGTCTGAACAGAAACATCTCAACTTCTTAGAATCCTTGAGTTCAAAGGCCTGAGGTCACCATCAGATGGGAACAAACTTTCAACCTAACCTTGGATATTCAGTGAAGTCATTCACTTGGAAGCCCAGGAAAAAGCTAAAATGTGCAACATGAGCCAAAGGAGAGTAAGCTTAAGTATATAGAAGTTTCTCAATTAAAAGCTTGTTTGATTAAATTCAATCAGGGTAAACTGCAGGGAGCATTCTTTTAAGAGGCTGATACAAAAAGTAATTCCTATCATAACCTAGTTCCCTCCCATAATCAAGGAAGCTGCTAAATTTCTCTATATTCAGTTTCTTTATCTATAAAATGGGGATAATAACGTTATCTATCACATAGGGCTGTTACAGGAAGGAAATAAGTTAATACATAAAAAGCATTTAGGGCAGTTCCTGGTACACGGTAAATCTTCAGTAAATGTTAGCTGTTATCATTTGTTTCTGTTTATGTTTAATGCTTTGGACTTCATCAGTATATAGTGGATTACTATATGTCCTCAATGTAGGATTCTCAAGTCTGTCTTACCTTACTCACTTGGAGAGTAAGTTTCCTTTTCCCTGCTTCCAGGGCAGAGCTAAGCCCTATCCGTGCTCAGGTGGTGCTCACTGATGTCATAGAGAAAGAACCAGATGGTTTCCAGGAAGCGTAATAACATTAGGACAGTTAGTCCATCTCCCAACTTCCAGGAAAAGGCTAACTGGGAAACTTTGGTGCTGGATGAGCCTGGCCTGCCCTAAATAAGCATCTATTACTTCCACTTCAGACTCTCGAACCAACAACTTAAGAAAACGCCCAGCCCGGCCTCTTACAGTGTCCCATTTGGCTCTGGCTCTCTCTTCTTCAAATTTAGCAAACTCCTTCCGGTCATGGATGGTGATGAGAAGCTTCCAGATGAGCAGAGTCGCAAGGCCGATAAGCAGAATGGCCCCCATCACGGAGAGCAAGACCACCAGGATGTCAGGGCCCTTGGGACACTCTATCAGGAGAGAGCGCAGAGCAGGGTGGTTGGGAATGGAGTAGGAATCATTTGAATTGGTTACAAATAAGATCTTCTTGACAAAGGAATATAGTACTGGAGCATTCTCCAAAGGAAACAGAACTTACAAAATAAGCCTATTAATTTTTAAAAGGAGCGGGGTAAAATCCTTAGAGCAGTAATCATCTGTCCTGAGTGGTTTAAATCAAAGGTCACTAGCTGGTCATCCACAAGCAGAGTCTAGCCTACTTGGTGAGAGTTCACACAAATGTTCATTAAAAATTCGATTTGGGGAGTTTCCTGGTGGTTCAATGGTAATTAAGGCTCCAAGTTTCCAATGCAGGAGCCTAGATTCGATTCTCAACCAGGGAACTAGATCCCACATGCTGTAAGTAGGAGTTCGCAAGCCACAACTAAAGATCCCACAGGTTGCAATGAAGACCTGGCGCTGCCAAATAAAGAAAACGTTTGATTTTGCTAGCAACATTAATCCAGGAGATTCTCCCCCCTAAAATTTCAGATTCTTCTTCTCTTCAGGAAAAAAAAAAAGTCAAAAATCTAGAAACACTGAACTTACACTTTTACAGGGTTTCAAACAGCTAGGGCTGAGGAGTAGCTGCCCATTTTAGTCATAACACTTTTTAGTTTTCCAGACTCCTCACCACTCTTTGTTTTCTGCACTAAACAGAGGCGAAGTGTGACTTGTCATTGAGTCTGTGCCCCTGTGGACTCTGGAGCCACACTGCCTAGGAGTAAATCCTGGCTATGTGACCTTTGATAAATAACTTCACCTTTCTGGGTGTCTGTTTTCCGTTTCTCCATCTCTAACAATAATAGCTCTGATTTCAAAAATGTATTATGAGCAATAGTTATGGAATAATTAAGGACTTCTCTGGTGGTACATTGGATAAGAATACACTTGCCAATGCAGGCAACATAAGCTTGATCCCAAGTCCAGCAAGATTCCACATGCTGTGGGCAACTAAAAAGTGCACTCACCACAACTACTGAGCCTGCACGCCCAGAGCTTGTGTTCAGCAAGAAGCCACCACAACGAGAAGCCCAGACACTGCAACTGGAGAGTAGCCCCCACTCGCCGCAACTGGAGAAAGTCCATGCACAGCAATGAAGACCTTCCCAGTGCAACCAAAATAAATAAAACAAAATTTTTTTTAATCTTAAAAAAGGAATAATTAAGTTAAATATATTTAAGGAACTCAGAACAGTGCCTGGCACAGAGTCAGAGCTCAATAAATATCAGCTACTGTTATTACTGGTATCCCTGTTATCCGAGGCTGTTTTGCCTAATTTATTTACCCAGCTCCTCCTTGAGTTTGAGCTGGGTATTTGAGTTAGTTACCCTAGTTCAGATATTTACAACCCCCGAGGGCTGAGAACCTAATGACCTCCTTAACATCCTTTGAAACTAGGAGGTCTGCCAACCAAGACAATATTTTGGGTTTCTTCCCAAAATATTTAGTCATCTAAAATTCTCACCCTGTTGAGAACCAACTTCCTGTTCAACCCCAGTCAACAACCAACATAAACAGAGGTACGACGTCAGCCCTCTGAGGGCCCAGTTGAGTATGCTCTGAACAGCTCCATTTCCCATAAACCACAGACGTCTGATGAGTGACCTCACTCCAGTAACTTCTCAGGTGTTATATAATTAGGTGTCTGTATATCTGAGTATTGATGGGTCTAAAGAGATGTCACACCTACTTTCCACACTGTCTCCCACCTTCTTCTCTAAACATACACACTATGCTTACCACACATGACCCAAAAACAACCACTACCACAACCCAAGCTGGCTATTTCCTATCCCACCAAATTACAATCTGTCTATAATTAAAGGAATGTCTGGAAAGAGGCTATGAGATCCCAATGTCTGAGTTCCCAAGGATGAAGGGTCCATCCCAGTTCTTCTGGGAAAAGCAGTTATGAATTCTCTGGAAGACTGAGGTAGGGCTGACCCTCAAACCTCAAAGTGGAATCGCTTCAATTTTACATGTCAGTATGGCCAGGACAGGTAGAAAGCCAGATCTTCAGGGGAAAAAGTAAACCTGTTAACCATCTGTCCTAAAAGGGGCGGACAGCAGGTTTCCTGGAAACAGATACAAGACCAGGTGGTCTCTGAAGTGCCTTCCCAGCCACAGTGATGATGACCCATGATGGATGATGGCCAGGGACGACTGGGGATGGTTAGCAGAACTGACAAACAAAAGTACAAGAAGTCCAGTTACATTAGAATTGCAGGTAAATAACAACTTTTGAAGTGTGTACCACATCTTGGATGTTGTATTTTTTTGTTGAAGTATAATCACTCTACAATGTAATGTTGTGTTAGTTTCTGCTGCACAGTGAAGTGAAATCAACAATATGTACACATATATCCGCTCCCTCTTGGCCCTCCCTTCCCCCCCACCCACAGCTCACCCCTCTCGGTCATCGCAGAGCACCGAGCTGAGCTCCCTGTGCTGTGCAGCAGCTTCCTACTAGCTATCTGTTTTACGCCTGGTAGTGTATATACTAATACATCAATCCTAGTCTCCCAATTCATCTCCCCCTCCCCTCCCCTCTCATGTCCACATGTCCATTCGCTATGTCTGTGTCTCTATTCCTTGTCCTGGAAATAGGTTCATCCATACCACTTTTCTAGATTCTACATATATGTGTTCATATACAGTATTTGTTTTTCTCTTTCTGACTTACTTCACTCTGTATGACAGACTCTAGGTCCATCTGTATCCCTACAAGTGACCCCGTTTCATTCCTTTCTGTGGCTGATTAATATTCCATTGGACATATGTACCATATCTTCTCCCTGAGAAAACTGTAATTCAAAAGGACAAATGTACCCCAATGCTCACGGCAGCACTATTTTCAATAGCCAGGACATGGAAACAACGTAAATGTCCAAAGGCAGACATACTGTATTTTTATCAGACAACCCTATCTGGAAGTGATGACAGCCCAGCTCAAAGGAGCTCATTCCCTGACCACTTGGCTAATGTCAAACTCTTTAGCGGTGCCCTCTTCACTGCCCCGTAGAGGCTCAGCCCTTCAGAGAGAACATCTGCAAGGGCAAGAGTTAGGGAAGCAAATGAGAATAATCTCCTCCGAGACTGAGGGCCCCAGATGTTACCTTCTACTCAAAGCCAGAGCCCCTGAAAATGATTGGAAGCCAGGGTGAGAGGAAAGGCAGAACTTGGAATTCAAGGCAACAAGGTAAGAAATGTAGGTCTGGGGACCTATCTCCTGATGTGGAGGAAGGGCTACACTGGCAGTAAGCCTAAAAAGTTACCTCCACTCTGATGACTAGTGATGTGTCAGCATCCCAGTTATCATCATCTTTGTTTCCCAGGACTCCAGACAATAGATTTCAGCCTCAGAATACCAGGTCAAATGATTTTTGTGAGTGCTACAGCAGGAGCACCAGCCAGATTGTTACAGCAAAGAGATGAGTTCATGTTAAACCCCAAAGCAAGAGGACACTGCACGTTTGAGATGAGAAGGGACAAAAGTACAGATAGGGTGGGTATGGAAAATCCATTTAACACGTTAACACAGGTGGATGAGAAAGTATGAGGAAGTCGTGCTGAAACTAACTTACATCTGCATCCCCAGACATAATGGGTTGACCAAGAAGTTCATTCAGATTTTTCCATCCCATCCTATGGGAAATCCTGAATGAATTTTTTGGCCAACCCAGTACATACCCAGACTCCTCTCCACTTCCCCACATCAGTGTTCCCTTGAGTCACAAAATAAAACTAAGGTGATACCCTTTCTTTACCTTTCTTCTCCCTTATAAAGGATGAGAGCCCTGGAGAGACTGATAAACAATATCACAAATGGGGACCCCATGCTCTCCTCTACCCACGGGGAGGACAACAGCCCCAGTGACATAGGTGCAGCCCTTTTCCCACTTTCAACCACTCCTGTCTTTAAGCAGCCAAAATTCTCCCAACAGATATTAAGATATATATGAGTCTGCCTGTCTCCTGGGCATAATCCATCCTATGCATTCATTCAAAAACTGTGTATGAAGTATCTTCTCTGTAAATAACTGAGCCAGGTATAGAGATATTATAAGAATAGATAAGAGACACAATTCCTATGTTCAAGGAACATATAGTCACCTGAAGAAGACAGGAGATTAAAGAAGCAATTTTTTTCTTTGACTGAGGTTTGTGGGATCTTAGTGCCCCAACCAGGGACTGTACCTGGACCCCTGGCAATGGAAGCACTGAGTTTTAACCACTGGACCACTAGGGAATTCCCTAAAGAAGCAATATAAGAACTTAGCCGGTCTAAAGGGAATCACAGCAACCCAATGCAACGGGTGCGCGTTCGATGCCTGGTCGGGGAGCCAAGATCCCACATGCCTTGTAGCTAAAAAAACAAAACATAAAACAGAAGTAATATTGTAGCAAATTCAATAAAGACTTTCAAAATGGTCCACACCAAAAAAAAAACAAAACAGGGGCGGGGGGGGGGGGGGGTGGGCGGGGGAAGCACAGCTGCTCTGAAAATCAAAGATGTGTACCAAATCTAATCATCAGAATGGATGCTGGAGGAGGTCTGAGATGGCTCATCTGGGAAGTGGTATGTCTAAAATATCAGGGAATATATCACAATTACCAGGAGCGCTAACAAGGAACAGAGAGGCATTGGCTTGTAGAAGTAAGACAGCGTTCAGAACTCTGGATTTTTTAACAAGGGAACATACAAAAGTTCAAGAACCACTGGCCTCAAGCAGGGACCAGCAAACAACAGCCCAGTGAGCCAAAAGCGGCTGGCCACCTGTTTTGGTAAACACAGTCAGATGCCTTCATTTGCATATAGTCTACGGCAGCTTTCTTGCTACGTGTCAGAGTTGAGTAGTCACCGCAGACACCATCTGGTCCACAAACCCTAAAATATTTAACATCTGGCCCTTTACAGAAAAAGTTTGCTGGCCCCTGGTCTAAAGAATGATTTGAAGACACTCCTACAACTGTAAAGAATGTCAAGTGACCAACTGATTTAGCCTCTGCCTTCAGAGATTGTCCTTCATTCCAGAAAGTTCTGGCCCACCCCTCCCATCCCCCATCCCCACTATACCATAGGCCTTATGCCCCTACAGCGTCATGACTGCTTTACATGCCTGTGAATACCACACCTGCCTTATTTACTATTACATCTCCAGCACCTAGCCCACGCCTGATGTATACGTACTCAAAAATACTGTCTAATGATTGGGATTTCTCCAGCAGTCCAGTGGTTAAGACTCCGCCTTCCAACGCAGGGGACAAAAGTTCGATCCCTGGTCAGGGAATTAAGATCCCACATGCTGAGTGGTGTGGCGAAAAAAAAAGTCTAATGATTCATACCTTCATCTGTTGTTTAAGGGAGAGAAAGGAGATAAAGAAAATGAGGAAAAACAAGCAAATCTACTGCGCTGGATGGTGACAAACCTGTGGTGGGTGTGTGTATGACACAGTGGGCTCTCCTGCCTCCAGGGGGTCCTGAGAGCAAGCATATGCAAAACAGAAAAAGAGACTCCGATGTATAGAACAGACTTGTGGACTCTGGGAGAAGGCGAGGGTGGGATGTTTCAAGAGAACAGCATCGAAACATGTATATTTTCTAGGGTGAAACAGATCACCAGCCCAGGTTGGGTGCATGAGACAAGTGCTCGGGCCTGGTGCACTGGGAAAACCCAGAGGGATCGGGTGGAGAGGGAGGTGGGGGGGGACCGGGATGGGGAATACATGTAAATCCATGGCTAATTCATTTCAATGTATGACAAAAACCACTGCAATGATGTAAAGTAATTAGCCTCCAACTAATAAAAATAAATGGAAAAACAAAAAATTAAAAAATTAAAAAAAAAAAAACTTTTCAGTGTTGGAGTCAGCTTCACATCCTTCACCACATCACACGGTAAAGCTGGTAAGGTGAAGACCTCAAACCTCAGGCCTTCCTCTGAAGCAGCAAGCAGCTTGTTCCTGGCAACCATTCAACTCTTAGTAGAGCAGATGCCTTGTGCTGAAAAGTGCTAGAATTTAAATTCCTTACCTCTTCCTTACAACATCACCTCAAAAAATACCAGGCTATCATCTGTTCCTTGAGCTCCACACCTACCCTCTTCCTCTCCTTACCCACCTTCTTATTCTTCTATCTCCTCAATTAGCAGGTCATTTTCTTGCTAATGTCTGTATTTATATACCCCACACTCAGATGACAAGTCCTGATCTATCACTTGTAAGATCAGGTTTCACCTGGATGTTCTGTTTAAGAGGAGTGATGGATGGAACTAACTGTCTAATATTGGTCTCACTCTCCCTCGGGGAAGGGTCAGGACCCTCGGGGTTCACTCACCTGGCTCTTCTACCACATACAAAATGGACTTTCCGCTGGAGTCTTCGTAGTACTGGAATCTGACGACACAGTCATCCTCATTCTTGTAGGTACAATTCACAGCATCCTTGCCAGTGTCCTCTGGGAGAGGAGGAAAGATGGGAGAATGAAAAACAGGTCAGTCCCTGAAAGATGGAGCCACCCCCAAATCCAGTCTTAAGACTTCTGGGAAAGCATGTGACAGGAAACCCTATGTCTGATATTAGGCAATATGCTTGGAGATGGCTGTCGTGCCTGGCAATTGCTTCGAGATGACTCTCACTGCTGTATTAGTACTCTGTCCCTCACAAAGTACTTTTGGGTTCTTATTCCTTCCTCTGGAAGGGATATGACATAACAGTATTACAGTCTGATTCAAAGCCTGGCTCTATCATCTCCCAGCTGTGTGATCTTGGGTAAGTTATCCAACCTCATCGAATCTATTTCTTCTTCTATAGCAGAAAAGATACCTTCACTCACAAGGATGGTTGAGAATCAAACAGCATAAACCACCTAACACACAGTGGGTGTTCCTTTCCTCTCTTTCCTTTTTCTGTTTGCTCAATGATTCCCAATAGTTTGCTTGCTCAACCCTTACATTTCTTCTATTTCTGCTTCCTATCCAGTGTTCCTCCCCAGAGCCATCTCTTTTTCTCTGACTCTCATCATGTCTTGTTGGCTTCATCCCTTCCAATTCTAAAACCTGTTATTCTGACTGTGATACTATGGGTTACCCTCCACCAACTGCACAATGCCCTCCACCAGCTTTACCAGATGGATAAATCTGATACATGATGAGATTAAGCAAATGTACCAAGGTCAGACAGCAAATAAGTGATGGAGCAGGACTAGGACATGAGTCTCAAAGCACATCCTACAGAGCCTTCAGTAAACCAGTGGTATTACAGAGCAATGCAAAGAGTAAGGATTTCAGGATTTAGTTCCAACCTTAACTCACCACTAATTTGCTTTGTGACAACTTTCTTGAGACTCAGTTTTCTTATCCTCAAAAATGAAGTTAACAATAGTACTAAGTTCTACTTTACTAGGTTATTGGGAGAAAAATAAGATAATGTGCACAAAAAGATACTTTTGTCATTTGTATAAGTTATAAAACTCCATACAAAGAAGCATTTATTCTTATGATTATCATTGTGGAGGATGGGGGTATTTATCAACTAACTTGTGATACTCATCTAGTCTAGATGATAAAAAATCTCTCCTATCAGCAGCCTCTTCTATCTAAGCTAATCATAGCAAGCCTGGTCTCCTCCAGAGGAAAAACAGCCTCTTCAAACTCAATCCCCAAATCACTATTAGTCCAGACCCACTTCAGACATTAGCCAAAGGATCCAGAGATCTGACTCTTTCCCAAAGCACCCCCATCCTGAAGCTGGCTGGCTAGCTGTGTCTTCCTGTGGCTCTCATTGAACATGTGTTTCCTTCCTTCATGTGAGATCGCTATCTCTCAGCATCACCCAACGTCTAACTGACCTAGATAATTACATCAGATATGTGACAGCAGCAAAGAGCAACTCCTTTTAAGTCAAGATGAAGTACCAACCAGAATAATTGCAGGCAAGAGTTTTGTTCCTCACTGTATTTCTGTCTTATGCCAGGAGGAGCTCCCAGGAGCCAAAAGGGCTGCAGGCTAATAATTTTGCCTCCAAATCCATAAAGGTGAAGGTTTCTCTCTATATCTTCAGAGCTGTATGCTGGACCTTGTTTAATATTCTGAGGTAAACTTGTGTGTTCAGTCGTTCAGTCATGTCCCACTCTTTGCAGCTCCATGGACTATAGCCCACAGGGCTCCTCTGTCCATGGAATTTTCCAGGCAAGAATACTGGAGTGAGTTGCCATTTCCTATTCCAGAGGATCTTCCCAACCCAGGACTCGAATCATGTCTCTTGCATCTCCTGCATTGGCAGGTAGATTCTTTACCACTGAGCCACCTGGAAACCCCTTAGTAAATGCTTACTGGCCTACTAAACCAAGGTTATCATGGGCAATTACTTCTTCATTCTGTGCCTCAGTTTCTTCACCTGTAAAATGGAGTACATCATCTTTGTTTCCTTAGGGTAGTAAAGCTAGGGTTGCCAGATTTATACATACTTTAAAAGTTCTTTGCAGGATTTTGCTAGCCCATGGGCTCTAGGAAGTAAAAGCAGAGGGGACTGCTGAACACATTTGCAGAGATGCAGAAAGGTTCTCAGGGAAGCTAGCTTTTAGGAAGGACCTACTGCGTATCAGGCCTACACAGTATACCTTTGAGGTAGGAATTACTCTTCCATTTTACAGATGAGAGTTGGAAAGTTTCTGGGGTTAAACTGGAAAAACCTAGAACGTGGGTGTGCATAACTCTATGGCTTGCTGAACTTACTAAGTTCCTTCACAGGCTCAATCTCATCACGACAATAACGGTTGCAGGTATTTTTCTCGTTGAGGGTTCCCCGGTTAAACTTCTTACATTCCACACACTCCCTAAAAGAGAGGGGACACAGGGGTGAAGGCAGGGAAGGAAGAACCCTAAGTGTGCTACGTCTGGCTCTGCCTGTCATATACCCAGAAAGCTGCCCCTCCCCCAGAAAATAGACACAAAAATAAAAACATTTGTAAGACAACCATGGGGGACCCAGAAAGTCACATCTGGAGTTCAGGGGTGGGACTGCCCTCCTAACTGATAGCTAAGGCTAGGTAGGCAGAGGCCTCCAGGAACTTTATTAAACTTCTTTATGTCCCATCCAAGACTGTGACAGGAGGGTGAACCCTATGCCACTTCTGGGAGCCCTAAAGTCAGAACTGGTCTCATAATTTGGGGGCCTGGTGCACAACAAAAATGTCAGTCCCTTACTCAAAAATTATTAGGGGGCTTCCCTGGTGGTCCAGTGGTTGGGAGTCTGCTGACAATGCAGGGGACACAGGTTCGATCCTTGGTCCGGGAGGATCCCACATAACACAAGGCAGCTCAGTCCTTGCACAACTACTGAGCCTGCCTGGTGCGACTGCTGAAGCCCGTGCTCCCTAGAGCCTGTGCTCCGCAACAAGAGAAGACACCACAATGAAAAGCCCACATGCCACAACTAAGGAGTGGCCCCTGCTCACCACAAGTAGAGAAAGTCCTTGCGCAGCAATGAAGACCCAGTGCGGCCATAAATAAATAAATAAATTTTTTTTTAATTAGGAAGAATTTCAAAACAGTGGTAGCAGAGCATTAAACAAAATGTGAGGCCCTTCTAAGCACAGGGTGCTGTACAAATACGCAGGCTGCATACCCATGAGTCCAGCCCGGCTAAAGCAGTAAGAGAAACAGTGGGGCCATGGACTTGGGTTGAGGGGGGCTTCCTCTGCCCCCAGATGAATGATGTTTATAGTGGTGAACATCTCCTGCTTCACACAGTAGCCTTCATAATCCCGGCCCCACCTCCTTCACAAAATCAGAACTTCAGCACTGGAACATTCCCCAGGAGTCACCTGGTTTAGCCTTCCTCCAACTCAGGGATTCAGGATCCTGCCTAAAAGAGAGGTTTATCCAACTGCAGTCCAGCTGGTACCACTCTGTTCCCTTCACCCCTGGCTCTAGCTCCAACTTTCCCTCAAGTTTTCAATGGAAAGATGAACACTAGTCATTTGCTGGAACAGACTCCTCTCTCTCTAAAGCTCTGGTGAGTGAGAGACAAAACCTGCACAGTGTGGGGGACCCTCTCCCCCATCCCAGACACCCAACTCTCTCCAACTCACGTCTCTGCCCACTCACTTCTTAAAGGTGCAGGCATCAGGGCAGGTGGGACACTTCTCACAGGTGTCCCCGTAGGAGCCAGGCTGGATGCAGACACAGCTGCCGCACTCGCACTTGCCCCGCCCGCTGCACAGTAACCCGTTGCTGGACATGCAGGTGTCCGTGCGCGTGGTACAGTTGCAGTAGTAGCCGGTCCAGTCGGAGTCACATAGGCAGTCCCCACAGCTGCACTGGCCATGGCCTGAAAACACACAGCCCAAGGGGGCAGACCGGTCAGTGAGGCCCCCACTCCAGGATGGTATTCGGGGCTTTACCTCTCATCACCCTCTTCACATCACCACACTTTTGCCTCCACACTGAGCTATTCACCATCTTCTACACTGTTCTCATAGCCTCATGCTTCTCTGCCTGCTGTTCCCTCTGCTTAGATGCCCTTTCATCCTGAGACCACTACCAAACTCCTACTCATCCTTTAAAGCCCAATTCAAATGTTCCTTCCCCTCTGAAACTTTTTTCTGACCTCCCCAGACCAAATCAACTGTCTGCCCATGTACTCTCCCAGTATTTATAGATACCTTTATTTCAACCCTGATGTTCAACCAATTTGCTTGCTTATTTGTTTCTTTCTGGATTGTGAGCTCCCTGATGGGGGAGCACATATTATATTCATTTTTCCATCAATAGTGATTAGTGTAAAATCTTACACACAGTAGGTGTACAACTAATGCAATTTCTTATTTATCTATTCATTCAACAAATATTTACTGAGCTCATACCACATCTTGAGCACTGGGGACTCAATGGTGAACAAGACAGGCAAGATCCCTACTAGCATAGATCTTATCTCCTCTAGTTAAATTCATAGAAAATACACACAAACCTTCACCAACCTATGCCCTTCGTTGTGTTACCATAGTTTGCAAAGAGCCACCAGCCTTACTAGGAAAGACTTATTTGCTTCCCTACCTGAGTATAGGAACAGGAGAGAGAGATGGGGTGAGGGTAGGGGTTAGATTGCTTAAATGCAGGCATTAACTCTCAACACTATATTCCCCTAATAATCATTTACCAAGGCTTTAAAACTTGGCTCCTAAATCCTGCAGAAAGGTGACTCATTCTCCAGGACTCTGAATCAGGAAGAAGTGGCTGAATAATATAAATCTGATTGTTAATCAGAGGAAAGGCAGGGAACAAAGGGGAAGTAACATGAATTGATCTGAAAATCAAGCCATTGTGTGAGCAGATGGGCCCCAGGATGGTGGAGGAGAGGATGGTACACAGCCAGGCTCAAATAGCAATGAGCTGGCTACCCAGTGACCCAGTGGGTCTGATTAATATCTCTTGGCCACTATAGGTCCCTCTGGATGGTATCACCCACTAAAGGATGAGTGATACCAGCATAATCCTCTAGGAACCACCCTGGCATTCAAGGCTCAGACACACCTTCACTATGTGTGTCTGTTTCCCAAGAAGATGGGAAACATAACCTCAATGACCCCAGCTGCCAAATATTGGGTTGGCCAAAAAGCCCATTGGGGTTTTTCCATATAATCTTATGGTAAAAACCCAAATGAACTTTCAGCCAACCTGATACATCTAGAGCAGCTGTCCCCAGTCTTTTTGGTACCATGGTCAAAAGTGGAAGACATCATGTTTTCGTGGAAGACAATTTTTCCACAGGCTGGGGTAGAAAGATGTTTTCATGATGATCCAAGCCTGGTGCATTTATTCTGCACTTTATTGCTAACATTATTACATCAGCTCCACCTGAGATCATCAGGCCTTAGATCCCAAAGATCGGGGACCCCTGATCTAGAGAATAGAGATACTGGGCTGGTAGAAGGATGAAGAAAGAAGATAGATAGTATGACTTGTGGTGAGCATTCTTGTCCCAGCGACTTCTTGGGGATGCAGAAGGGAAGGAGGGAAGCAGGACAGGGCAGGAAGCAGATGCTGGCAGGGAGACTTCCCTGGCGGTCCAGCGGTTAAGATATCGCCTTCCAACTCAGGGAAAGCGGGTTCAATCCTTGCTTGGGGAGCTAAGATCTCACATGCCCCGTGGCCAAAAAACCATATTGTAACAAAGTCAATAAAGACTTTAAAAATGGTCCACATCAAAAAAAAAAAAAAAAGCTGGCAGGAATGTGGTCTCAGCCTGACAACTCCCCTCAGCCTGATCCCATGGCAGGCTGATGGGCATGACCAGCACCACAGCAACCTTGAGGCAAAGAGACTGGCCTTGTGTAAGCCCTTGTCCACCAGTCATTGGCCAAGGTCTGAGGGCCATCCAGCTCTTGTCAGCTGAAAATAATTCTCCAGAGAAGGTCCAATTGTGAGGTATTCTCAGCAGCCCTACCAGTGGTGGGGGGATGGGTGGGCCAGCAGAGTGGGACCCCCACAGTGTCCACTACAACCAGCTTTTGACCATGCCTCCTGGATAAGGAAAAGCGGACACCACAGAGGCCTGGCAGCGCTCAGAGGCCTCAGTCTCCTCAGAAACCCTTGTCTCATAGTGTTTCCTTTGTGAGGCTAAACAAAGTGATCTTTGAGAAGACGGCCCGCAGGCCAGCCCAGGAGTGAGGTTGGGAGTGGACAGTGGCAGGCCAGCGCCAGCAGGCTGACTGCAAGGCTCCAGCAGGGCCAAGCTTTAAAAGGAAACCACAGTGCAGTAATGTCACAGGACTGGCATCCCTCCAGCAAAAGGGGTTCACAGGAAAGTCAGGGGAGGAGGGTGGCAAATGAAGCGAAAACATGAGAAAGAGGAGGGAGGTAGAGAAGAAGATGGCCCAGGAGGCGTGGGGGAAGGGAAGGGAAGGGAGGAGCAGGGGTCTCAGGTCAGAGGTCAGGCAGTCACTCCCCGCATACAGATTGACCTTCTGGGCTGACACATCACTCCGCTGCCCTCTATGGACCAGCCCTTCCTCTGACTTCCCATTTCCTCCATGAAGCCCCCCAGGGCTCCGCTGTCCACAGTGCATCTCTCTATAACACTCACTGAGGACACTTCACTTCTGGGATCTGGCAGGTTCTGCCTTGTGCTGTGAATTCTCCGTGGGTAAGTTTATGACAAAACTGTCTTATTCATGCTTCTCTCTCTTTTTCTTTTTTTGGCTGTGCCAGGTTGCGACATGAAGACTTAGTTGTGGCATGCGAGATCTAGTTCCCTGACCAAGAATCGAAACCGGGCCGCCCTGCATTGCGAGTTTGGAGTCTTACCAACTGAACCACCAAGGAAGTCCCTATTCATGCCTCTCTATCCCACAACACTATGGCACACAGCACGGAACCTGGCTCACACGGGCGCCTGACCAGCATTCACGTGAGAGTCAATTCCTAGGCAGGTTGATAAGAAGTCCGGGGGTCCCCAAGGAGACAGGGATCTGGGATTCTCAAGGAGGAGAAAAAGACAAACTTTTTTTCCCTCTACATTCTTCAGGATTATATAACAATAATGTATCCTGCTTGAGGACAGTTTTTGGAAAAAAACCTTGATGTGACAGGGGAAGAGTCCCTTGAGGACAAGGATGCACGCCCTGACTTTTGAGGGGTGCTGATACCATGAAACCACAAAGACCATGCCTCCAGTGGGGAGGAGGGGACAGGGACAGCCAGGAGCTGGGACCATGGCCGAGTCATTGCACTCCCAAGCCCCTGCTTGAGCAAAGAAGAGACCAGGCCAGCAGCTCTGGGCACGGAGGGACAAGGATGAGCTGGGCTATAAGCCCCACGAGGTTAGGAACCGCACATGACCCCCCCCCCCTGTGCACCCATATGGACCGAGGGCCTGGCACAGAGCAGGTGTTCAGCGAGCATGTGTCCCTGGAGGATGTGATGACGGCACCAGAGGGTCCAGACCTGAGGCCGGTGGGCAACCCCACACCCTGGCAGGAAGGGAGAGGGAGGCCTCAGAGCTACAGTGGCTGCCTGGGCCTCCCTCGTGTGACGGGCTGGAGCTCACTGGGGACGAGCTGTTCCTGCACGGCTGGGAGGCAGGAATCAGGGCTGCTGACCCGGGGCCTTTGTTCTGTGGCTTCAGTGGGGCGGGCGGCCAAAGGAAACACACCCTGGCTGGGATCCCTCCCACACGCCCCACATCAGACCAGGAACAGTCAGCCCATAGAGCAGCAGCAGGCCTCCCTCCCCGCCTGGTGCCATCGTGGTCCATGTGTAAGCCTCTCCTAGGGGGAACTTTCTTTCCCTCAGTCCCAACCTTCTCCTCATGTGTCTCCCACGTCAAACTTAACCATTCCCTTTGGTGCCTGGAATATGACATGTGTGTTTGTACTTAGTCACCCAGTCATGTCCGACTCTTTGCAACCCCATGGTCTGTAGCCCGCTAGGCTCCTCTGTCCATGGGGATTCTCCAGGCAAGAATACTGGAGTGGGTTGCCATGCCCTCCTCCAGGGGATCTTCCCAACCCAGGGATCGAACCCAGGTCTCCGGCCTTGCAGGTGGATTCTTTACTGTCTGAGCCACCAGGAAAGCCCTGAATATGACATAAATACTATTAAATATTAGAAGGCAGCAGTCCCCAACCTTTTTGGCACCAGGGATGGGTTTCACAGAAGACAGTTTTTCCATGGACTGGGGTTGGGGGGGATGGTTTGGGGATGATTCAAGAGCATTCCATTTACTCTGCCCTTTATTTCTGTTGTTAATCCATCAGCTCCACCTCAGATTATCAGGCCTTGGATCCCAGATGTTGGGGACCGCTATGAGAAGGAACTGAAACTCCTGCCTCACTCCTGAATTCAAATTGCTGGGTGTGTCTGTGTGTCGATGCATATCTGATCTCTCTTTCCCCTAATCTCTCTGATATCAAATTTTTGTTATAAGAAGATATTTAATTTGATCCGTCTCAAATGCTATAACATATTACAGCAAATTGAAGGTTTTAACATTCTAGGAACAGTATTCCTTTTCTCTGATGTCATTTTTCTCCAGTCTCTCGAATTTTGTTGACTTCAGTAAACAATGTTGTAGGTAATAGATAGAAGCCATTTTTATATTACTCGGGTATGCTTTAGAATGACACATATTTACCTTTCTCCTCAAGCTTTCCTAAAGGCCAATGTTAAAGTGAACACCTGGGTAGATTAGCTCCACTGGTTAGAACCCCAGTGCAAGTGAAGCCAATCTGGGTCATAGGTTTGATCACCCTAGAAGCCAATGATAATCTCTGTTCAATTGGCCACACAATACAACTGCAAACTGGTCCCAACCAAATTGCAGATATCTTCAGTCTATCTCTCACAATGGGGATTAAGCCACAGTGACTACAGCCCAGCAAAAATGCATCCCTAATGCTCAGGAACAACTCAGACTGCCTAACTGCCTCTGGGAGTGTTGTCAGTATGTCTGCAGATAAGAATTATGTTAACTTACTCGGACTTCTTCTAGCTGGGGAAGTACCCCAGGAGTGGACTTTGGGGTAGGGAGAAACCAGCTTGAGATTATCATGGGCCTCAAGATTTTACTGAATTTTGTCATGAGATAGACAATTCAGTATCCTGCAGGTAGGAGGATTCAAACTCATAATCCCCAGCCTGCAGTCTGGGACTGTCTGTGGCAGCACCCCCAAGAAACATCTGTGCTATGCAATAGGGTGGCAACTAGCTATACATGGTTCCTGAGGAACACAGAAACTAATTTTTTTTAATTTAATTCAATTTAAACTTTGTACTTAAGCTTTAATTAAACTTGATTCATTTAAAATAGCCACCATTTTGGACTGTAGCAATCTAGAGTACAAAAAATAATAATATACCAACAGTGATAATAAAATAGTACCAACACTTAATAAGAGCTTACTATTTTTCAGTCACTCTCCTAAGTGTACTGGCTCATTAAATGTGCTCCAATATCTTGTAAAGACACTACTTGTTTTCCACATGTTGTGTGATGAAAAAATAAATTCATGTTAAATAATTACTAACTTCACTACATATTCTGACATCATGTAGTTTCCAAATCTATGTATACTAAAATTTTAATTATCATTAGTCAGGGGTTTTGGGTGTTTTTTTAAGTAAAAAAAAGGGTTGGAGGACTTTCCTGGTGGTCCAGTGGTTAAGACTCCACCCTTCCAATGTAGGGGAGGGGGGCAAGTTTCGACCCTAGTCAAAGAACTAAACTAAGATACCTCATGGTGTGGCCAAGAAAAAAAACCTTTTTTAATGTAAAAAAGGGGTTGATTCATATCCTCAAAAAGATTAGAAACCAGTGACTTAAAATGTGAGCTGAGGGGCAGATGAGAGAAAAGAAAAAAAACTATCTTCACTTTCAGTTTTCCCCACTCTTTCCCACCCTATTTTAAGAGAGAAGCCCCCTGAAAGCAGACACTCATTTCCTTGTGTCCCTCGAGAAAGGACAGAGGGAGCTGAGGGGAATGAGAGAACCTCGCTTCTGTTTCCTGCCCTTGGAGTGGAACACCATCGGCTCCCTCTGCCCGAGCCACCCTGTGCCCACCTCAAGCCCTACCCTGCATCCATTTCCAGAGGCTGCAAATGCGTGAGTGTGTGGGGGTACCAGGATGGAAGGCATGTGCAATTCCACTCACCTGAGCACATCTCCCCCTTGTAGCGGACACAGGAGAAGTCATCACACTCGCAGTACTTGCCCGTGATCTTGCCAAAGTCACTGCTGTGGCAGACGCACTGGCCACAGAGACACTCGCCCCGCTGGCTGCAGATGGGCTGGCCCTCCCGGGGGCTGCACTCGTCCTGCTGCGAGGGGCGGTAGTCCTCTTCCGAGCACTCGCACTGGGACCCCAACCAGCCAGGCCCACAGCGGCACACCCCACACTCAAAGGTCCCATTGCCATTGTTGCAGCGCGGGCTATGAGGCTCAGCCTCGGCCTGGCAGGCACAGTCACAGTCGAAAGTGACCTGCACGGTGAGGCTGTCTTTGAAGCCCACAGGCTTGATGGTGAAGGACTTCTCCTTCTTCTGGGGGCAGCCACGCACTTTGGCCTCAATGCTGAAGCTCACCTGGATGGAAAGTAAGATCGTGTTCAGACACAGGGGACCCTGTTGACACTCCAGCCCTAGAGGGAGAGAAGCTGTTCCCTGCCCTGGCCAGGAATACTCAAACTGGGTGTCCTGTCCCCTGCAAGCCAAAGTTCCTCAGCTTTGTCACTACCAGGGTCTGCAAAGCCAAAGCAAGAGCCTGGGGACAGTTGTGCCATTGTGACCTGCTGGCTGGGTGTAGACATGACTTATAATCACGAGATAGCTTTTTTTTAAAAAGGTAAATAAAGCAGTTCAAGCAGAGCAGAACCTATGATCTTATAAACACTCTGCCTTGGCCAACTAAGCTAGCTGATTACATAATATCAAGGTACACAAAGCACTATTTTGTGGCATTGTATGGTAACCCTGGGGCTTCCCAGGTTGCTCAGTGGTAAAGAATCTGCCTGCCAATACAGGAGATGCAAGAGACATGGGTTCAATCCCTGGGTGGATAAGATCTCCTGGAGAAGGAAATGGCAACCCACTTCAGTATTCTGGCCTGGAAAATCCCATGGACAGAGGAATCTGGCAGGCTACACTCAATGGGGTCACAAAAGAATCAGACATGACAGCAACGAAACAACTATGGTAACCCTAACCCATACAGTGCCACATAGTGGCCAACACAGGCTCAAGGTCTACTGTTCAATCTCTTTATTTTTATTTATTTATTTACTTATTTTGGTCCCGCCTTGCAGCATGCAAGACCTTAATTCCCCAACCAGGGATCGAAACCATGCGCCCTGCAGTGGAAGCACAGAGTGATAACCACTAGACCACCAGGGAGCGCCCTGTTCAATTTCCATATAACATTTCATCACTTGTGCAATCAAACATGTTTCAGGCCAATATTTCTCACTAGGGTGTGTGCACATGAGCCTAGAATATAGACAGAAAGAGGGATAGAGGGATGCAGATAGACATATAGACATTAAATGATATAGACATGGATGATACAACTATAGATAAGCCCCTCTTTTCTTCCCACCCCTTTCACCATCCCTCTCCCCTAAGGCAGAAGCCGAGGAGAACCAACCACTAGGGAAGGAAAGCCGCAGAGGGACTAAGGAGGCAAAATGAACATTTGCATTCTGAAATTCCATGATGGTGGGTATTTTCACCTATTCCGTTTGCTGCCAAATCTTCAGCAGCTAGGACAATGCCTGGCATGAAGTCAGGGCTCAATAAATATTTACACATGACATTTCCATTTTACGCTGCGAAGCAAAGAAAGGCATTACCTTAGAGGAGGGTGGAAACTAGTAAAGGGCTGAAGGCAAGAAATATTATCATTTGCAATCGACTGTGCATAAACAGTCACCAAACGCAAGTTTTTAAAAATCCTGATGGGGAAGTTACTTAACGGAGAAAAGTTTAGCTAACAGAAGCCTCGGAGGCAAAGGCTGGCAGCTCCATTACATCTGACTTGCCAGGACGTTCAGGAAGAAAGTCCAGAGAAGGGGTGGGTGCCCACAGGGGTTCCGGGGCACAGGCCAAGGTGAGAGCCGCAGCGCCGCCCCGTCCAGCCCACCTCACCGTGTCTCCAATCTTGAGTCCGACACAAGACTTCAGGCCTGGGATGACTTCGTTGTTGAGACATGTGGCGTTGAAGGATAAGGACAGCTCCTCGGGGAGGTCGCGCACTTCCAGCTCTACTTTAGAGCGGATTTTCTGAGCAAGAAAGGGCAAAAGAAGGTAAGAAAACGGGCTGAGAGGACATAAGTAGGGACCAATTACATCCCAAGCAAAAACCACCAGGTGGCCCTGGACTCACCTGCCCTGCTAAATGCTGAGGTCCACCTCGGCTGCCACAGCATCCCGAGGAGCTTGTATCCTACTAACCTTCCAGCCCAAGACCTGCTCGCGCTCTTTCTCCACTTGTGTCTAGGTGAGTCTGGGTAAAATCTAAACCGGCTGTGCCCTCCTGCAGGCCTCGCGGACTTGCAAGAAAGGAGTGCTGATACTGGTCACCTTGGGTAGTACCACTTTCTACCGAATTTTTCATCAGCCTCGCATTCCCCATAATTCAGCTCCCTCTTCCCTCTGTTGTTGGAGCCCAGCTCTCCCTCAGCCTGAACCCACTCCCAGTTTCAGGGCCCTGTTCCTTAACATCATCCCCATTGTCTCTTTCCATTTCACCTTCTCTAAGCAGTTCCCCTGTTGTTCCTATGGCTCCCTCCATCCCCTCTTGAGCCATTTCTGTTGCGGAAGGCTGCATTCCTCCCAGTGCTGCCTATCACCTAGCCTCTGGAAGAACAAGAAGAAGGCAGTCAAGGCTGCATGGTGGACTAGCTGCCAGGACTCCCAAATCTGAGGCCTCCCGGGTAATGCCAAGTGCAATGGACTCTTAGCAGGTCCATGCCCAGTGTAAGACACTTACCCCATAAGCATCCACAATGAGCTGGAGAACATTGCTGGAATCAGTAGACAGAACTCCCACTGTGGTCCCTGGGATGAGCTCACTATAGTTCTAGAAAAGAAGACAAAGATGTCTAGGGACAACTGATAAAGGTGGTGGTCTCCAAAAGCCCTCCCCAAACAGATGGAGGGTCTTGAAACAAACATTGAGGGAGGGATGGGATATTTTACTTATCACTGCCAGGAATCTATCTAGCAGTTTTTCAGCCCTGAGAAAAATTACAGAGAACCTCTCACACCCCTCTTCCCACCAAATTACTCCCCTCCACCACTGCAAATGTCAACACACCCATCCTGCTAGGTTCAAGGTTAGAGGAGAGAGGTTCACCAAAAGTAATCATTAGCTCCCAGGTCTTTTCTGATTGGGGACCATGGCCAAAGGTAGTCTGGGTTGATTCCCTGAGATAGGTCCACCCATCACAGAGCCCACTCCCACTCCAGGAAGCCCCGAAGGTATAGTCACCTGGTAGAGATTGACTACACTTTCAGTCACTGCAAAAATCAAATTGATGTTTTTCTGGGATAGCTTCTCAGTCATCAGCCCCAAGGAGGGATAATCCTGTAAAAAGAGAGGATGTGGAGATTAGTTAAGAAGTAAGAAGTCTATTCACATACATCCCTGGATTCTAAACCTTAGAATCAACCTTGGTTGATTTGGGCGATGGCCCAGACAGTGGTGGGGCTTCAACTTTTTCACCCCATGACAATGAGAGGCAAACACAAACTCAGGTGTGAACTCGGGATAGATGAAGAGATACAGGCTTGTAGTATCAAAACTAAATGTCTCTTTCTTCCTACTTAGATTTGAAGCATCCACACCAAGGAGCAGCTTTCTGGACCAGGTACCACCAGGCCTCGTCGTTTTGAAGCGTACTCCTGTTTTGTGGCTCCTGACAAATGCCTTGGCTTGGTGCTCACAGTACTCTGCCACGTGATCTCAACTTTCCTTTCCAGTCATCATGCAACCTCTCTCCCCTTTTCACTCACCACTGATCTGGCCCCCTGTCTTTCTCCCACTGACAAATGCCTTGGCTTGGTGCTCACAGTACTCTGCCACGTGATCTCAACTTTCCTTTCCAGTCATCATGCAACCTCTCTCCCCTTTTCACTCACCACTGATCTGGCCCCCTGTCTTTCTCCCACGTAAAGTGGACTTCTTTTTGTTAATCCTCCTCCTTCCTTAGGATCCAACTCAGGTCTCACCTTCTCCAGGAGGCGTTCCTTGACCACCCCAGTTCACGATGAGCTTTCTTCTTTTGAATACCTAAAGCCTTTATCAACTGTTTCACCTAGTTAGCATTAATCATGCACCTTCTGTTATTGGTACCATATCTTCTTGACTAAACCAAAAACTCTTTAAGAGCAGGACATTATATAGTCTTGTTAACACTCTCCAACCCCGGTAAGGGCATGCCTAGTATGTATGTGTTCAGTCGCTCAGTTGTGTCTAATTCTTTTCTACCCCATTGGACTGTAACCCGCCAGGCTCCTCCATCCATGGAATTCTCCAGGCAAGAATACTGGAAAGGGTTGCCATACTCTCCTCCAAGGGATCTTCCCAATCCAGGGATCGAACCCATGTCTCCTGCGTCTCCTGCATCGCAGGTGGGTTCTTTACCACTGAGACACTGGGGAAGCCCCAAGGCCCTGCAAAGACTAGATGTCAGTCATTATAGATTCACCCATTGCTTGGTAGTGCTCAACCTGCATATGGCTGATACCAAAAACTCAAGCCAAAAAGGCAGTGCTGACAAATTATGAACATGTCTCTGGAATCCTAGACCTTTCAGGGAGCTCATGAGATCGTGAAACTCAGGTTCCTGCCTTTACACAGGTGTACATTTAAGCCACCTAGATGGAGTAGTTGCTATATTGTCTTTAAGAAATGAAGAGTTCACAGCTCCCCCTATATACTCAGAGTATCAGTATTCTGTACATCAGGTCTGTACATTTTCTTTATGATTTACTGCAATTTCTCCTGTTTCCATGTAAACTCCTTTCCTTTGTTTTACCTTCTGTGGACATAGAAAACAATTTCTAAGAAGTCTTCTCATACAGAGTAGTGGCTACCAGAGGGGAAGGGGTGGAGGAGGATGAAATGGGTAAAGAGGATCTACTGTATGGTGACAAGTGGAAACTAAATTTGGAGTGGTGAGCATGGTGTAGTGTATGCAGAAGTAAAAAGATACTGATGTACACCATGAAACATATAATGTTATAAACCAACGTCACCTCAAAAAAAAATAATTTTTAAAAAAAGTCTTCTTGGGACTGCCCTGGTGGTTCAATGGCTAAGACTCCAGGCTCTCCATGCAGGGGCCCTAGGTTCAATCCCTGGTCAAGGAACTAAGATCCCACATGCTGCAACTAAGAGTTCATATGCTGCAATGAAAATCGAAGATCTAAGTGCTGCAACTAAGACCCAATGCAGCCAAATAAATAAATAAAATATCTTTAATGATTTTCCATATTAAAAATAATAATAATAATTTTTTAGTTTTTAACTTTAAAAAGTCTTCTCATGTATCAGCTAAACCATCCTTTAGCCCTTGTATTCCAACTAAATGACTCTGAGCCCTTTATCCTTTCCTCACAGGACTGCCTCACCATGGTTTGCCAGTCTTTGTCTCTTTTTGCTCTGTCTTCTTCCAATAACCACAGAGAGCATGATGCTCCAAGAGGGGGCTAATTTGTACACAATTACAGGATGGCCCTGCTTTCCAGCTGAACATGTAAAAGTCCTCTAGGTCCATTCTGGATGCCACGATGCTGCAGGCTGGTGCTGGAGGCAGTGGGGGTATCAGTAACACTGACCCCAGCCAGGACCACCTTTAATGGTTGTGCAGGTTGTACCCTGGACGAAGACAGGCTGCAAAGAGCCCTGCATTTTGCCCAAAGGAAGACCTGTCATCTTCATATTTCATTTCATACAAAAAGACTCTGCCTGAGTTAGGGCAGTCCTGGCCATAGTGAATAGGAACCATAAGTGGAAAAAAGAATCTCACCATGGTGGTGGAGGCAGAATAATGGTTGTCACTGCCCACATGACACTGCCCATCATTGGGCTGGACGATGCCTGCCAGCCTTCCATCCAGTGCTATATGGGTCTTGGCATCAGTGGTAAACACCAGCAAGTGGGAGGCATCATTCCTCCAGCCAATCTTCTCCTGTTTAAAAAAAAAAAAAAAGGTGAAAGACAGCAACTTTAGCTATGTCACCGGTACAAAACAAAGACCCAAGGAGTTCCTAATCTGAAGGGCTAGACATGGACTGGAGAATGGCCTCAGTCCCAGTCCTTGGAACACAAGCTGGAGCTTTCCAACTCAGCAGTTTCTGTTCTCTTAGAAAAACAGTCTCGGAGCTCACTAGTTCAAGCAGCTGAAAGACACCTACTTCATCTCCAAATAGAACTTCTTCAATGAGAATCACACAGCCTATCCAGAAACCCACCTGCATCTGCAGAGCTAGGCTGGGCTAGAAGAAATCTTGCCTGAACATCTGCCCACTTTGCTGAGGTTAAGTGAACCCAGCCTGGACTCGGATACACTTCCAGAGATGGTGGAGAGATGCTCTCCCCAGTAAGCACCTGGGTCCCCTAAGGTTCAAAAAAATATCAGCTCTGGCCAGGGAGTAAATACAAGCAGAGGCTGTTTATCAGCAGCAACATGTTGCTCATACTGTACAAAGCTCTGCTTAGTTCCTATCTTGTATTTCACCCAGAAATCCCCACCGTTGAGCCACTTCCTCCCCATTTTGATCTGCACCAACCACACCTGGCGCTCCACATCCTCCAAACTCACATCACAGACGGTAGCCTGCATGATGGCATCAAAACCACCCTCTGGTGCATCTCGGTTCCGCGACACACTCTGCTTCTTCACCTCCTCATTGAAGCGGGTCACCTGGTCAGTTAGTGTCAGCACGTGTTTGTAGCCGAACATGGGCAAACAGGTAGCCTTCATACTGGGGAGGGAAGGAGATGATTTAAACAGACATCTGACAAAAGATTGCAGGGAGGGGGACTTCCCTGGCAGTCCAGTGCTTCCAATACAGGGAATGCAGGTTCGATCCCTGGTCGGGGAACTAAGGGATCCCACATGCCATGTGGTGTAGCCAGGGATAGGGGTGGAGACAAGACTGCCTGGGGAGTGGGGAGGGAAAAGAGGGAGAGAGATGTGGAAAGTGGTATGCCCAGTCCAGTTCTATGCAGCTAGAATTATCCAGAGTTTAGACTCTAAACCCTTCAAATTACTTAGGCATCACATTGAACTAACCTCCACCTAGCTCAAAGGATAAGAGAGTGAACTGTGGAACCAGACTGCCTTGATTCAAATCCCAGTTCCTTGACTTACTAGTCATGGAATCCTAGGCAAGCTTCTCTACACCTAACCTGTAAAACAAATGAGGACATGATAGCTAGTAAGGGTTGTTGTGAAGCCTTATTGTTCAGTCGCTCAGTCGTGTCCAACTCTTTGCAACCCCATGGACTGCAGCACACCAGGCTTCCCTGTCCACCACCAACTCCCAGAGCTTGCTCAAACTCATATCCATTGAGTCAGTGATGCCATCCAACCATCAAATCCCCTTTGTCCCCTTCTCCTTCTGCCTTCAATCTTTCCCAGCAACACGGTCTTTCCCAATGAGTCAGCTCTTCGCATCAGGTGGCCAAAGTATTGGAGCTTCAGCATCAGTCCTTCCAGTGAATATTCAGGACTGATTTCCTTTAGGAATGACAGGTTTGATCTCCTTACTGTCCAAAGGACTCTCAAGAATCTTCTCCAACACCACAGTTTGAAAGCATCAATTCTCTGGCACTTAGCCTTCTTTATGAACCAACTCTCATATCCATACATGACTACTGGAAAAACCATAGCTTTGATTAGACAGACTTTTTTGACTATATGGACCTTTGTTGGCAAAGTAATGTCTCTTGTTTTTAATACACTGTCTAGGTTTGTCGTAGCTTTTCTTCCAAGGAGCAAGCGTCTTTTAGTTGTGAGGTTTAAGTGAGTTAACATGGGGAAGGTTCTCAGATCAGAGTGAGGCTCTGATTGCTATCGGTAACACATTATACTCAACACTTCTCTAAAGTAACATTAACATAACAATAAGCAAAAATTCATCAATAACTTTATGTCTCTGAACTATCAATAAATTGATAGATCTGTGTCAAACAGGAGCATTTCTGTCCCCAGTCTATTGGTTTATTTCTTTAAATCATGGTTGACATCCTTACTGGGTAAACTTACAACCCACATAACTCTCAAATCTAAAAAGTAAAGCCGTACCCTGTCAGACTTGATAACCATCATTTTAAATTATAATCCATGAATTTGCATAGTCTCTCCACCAATTAAATAAATAAACCATTCAGTTGTAAGCCAATGTCTCAAAGTAGGGACACATCAATTTATGCTAGAAGTTTCAATAAATATAATTTCCACTCTTTTATATTCCTCTAGGACTTTTTTCTTTGCATTTTAACTCTGTAGAACCCATCTTCTAGATAGGGAGGACAATAACAATGGAATCAATCATTCTGAAATCATAACTCCTCTATTTACTTATTCATAAAGTTCTCTCTCTACGTTTGGTCTCATTTCTCTTTTATTCTCTCTTGTCTACTATTTATTTGTGACCTAGACTGGGAAGCTAATGAATTTCCTTTCTAGGTCTCCAAATAGCTTTATTTATCTTATTAACAATTTTGGTTTATTATTAACTGTTAACACAGTAAGTGGGTTGGCCTGCTTGCCAGACAGGGAGACGTTGGTAAAGAGGAGAAACAATTTGGCCAGAAGGCAGCCAACAAAGCCTGGAGGTAGAAATAAGAAGCAGGACTTGGGCATATCTGGGGCAGTGGGAAGAGATGCTATCCTGGCTTCTACAGGAGAGACTTACTCATAGCAAGGGTTTCTGATGGCCTCTGGTGGAGAAATATACATGTATGGTGACACGGGCTTGTCCACAAAGGCCCCGAAGCCAATCCGCAGGTTACTGGTGAGCTTACGCATCTGGGAGGCCAGCTTGGTACCCAGGTTCTGGATGTTCCGCAGGTCATCCTTCATGGAGTAAGATAAGTCCATTAAGTAGTAGATGTCCACAGGGTAATCTTCCACCTGCCGAACTTGGATGGAGAAAATCTTCGAATCATCTGTAAGGCAGAAGGACGTTAAGTCTTCTCCTCTTCTTCCTCTAAGACTTAAGCAGATTTGGACATATTTGCTGGGCTGTGCTGTGCTTAGTCGCTCAGTCATGTCCGACTCTTTGCCACCCCGTGGTCTGTAGCCTGCCAGGCTCCTCTGTCCAGGGATTCTCCAGGCAAGAATGCTGGAGTGGGTTGCCGTGTCCTCCTCCAGGGGATCTTCCCAACCCAGAAATCAAACCCAGGTCTCCCACAGGCAGATTCTTAACCATCTAAGCCACCAGGGAAGCCCATGAATACTGGAGTGGGTAGCCTAGCCCTTCTCCCGGGTATCATCCTGACCCAGGAATTGGACCAGAGTCTCCAGCATTGCAGCTGGATTCTTTACTAGCTGAGCTATCAGGGAAGCCTTTGGACATATTTAGGATGAAGCAATTTTTTTTTTTTTTTTTTTGCTGTGCCACGTGGCTTATGGGATTTTAGTTCCCTGACCAGGGACTGAACCCAGGCCACCACAGTAAAAGTGACAAGTCCTAACCACTGGACCACCAGGGAATTCCCTGAAGTAACTCCTTGAGCAAACCAAACTTGAAAGCCCTGGTTCCTCTTCCTCTCCCCTTGCAATTCTATTACTCTTTCAATCTCTTAACTCTCCTATTTTTAACCTCTTCTTTTCCATTCTAAAAGTCTTCACTGTCTCTAAATCCCCATCTGTCTAATCCCTGGGTCCCAAGGGTTTGCCACCCAGGATCACAGAAGTGTTGGCAGTTACTACACTCCAGACTCTGTAAAGGGAGGAACCGTGTTCCACTCTGCCCTGAATCGCACACTACCCAACACACGCCTCACACATAAAACGCTCTTAAATTCTTAATTGAATTGTAAGGTCAATATCAGTGCTTCCAAAAGCCTGTCTCTTAGCCTAAGCCTTACCCCCTCCGAAGGTCTCCTGCCCCTATTTTCTCTGCCCCTATACACGGCCCTGCCTCAAACTCACATGGAAAAGGGGCTTATAAACTGCTTCCTCATCTTATATATCATTTGAGCCCCAAGAGAAAGCTATATACCGGGTAAAACAGGCATTGGGGAAAAGAAGAAACAGACATTTTTATGGCAATCCACTCCAGTACTCTTGCCTGGAAAATCCTATGGACGCAGGAGCCTGGTAGGCTACATGGAGTCACAAAGAGTGGGACACGACCTAGCAACTAAACATCACAATCTTAGCAGGGTTAAATAACTTTCCCAAGGTCAAATAGCTAATCTGTGGAAAAGCCAAGATTCAAACTCCGATCTTCGGACTCCAGGTCCCCAAGCCTTCCATTTTCTTCCCTTCTCCTGCTCACACCTCCCCCCACATCCTTCTCTTCCCACCACAGTTTCCTCGTGAGCCACGTCCACAGGCTCCCTACCTGGCCGGAGGCGGAGGGCAATCCTCTGGGGACTGACTTGGGTAATCTGGGAGCTGTCTCCAGTGCCCTTGTCACTGAGGGGCCTGGCCTCCAGGATTCTGGCCTCGCTGATCGGGAACTCGATGGACTCCGGGGCGCAGTTATCCTCCAGCAGGTTCTCCTTCAGGTTACAGCGGGGCGAACCTGGAGGCAGCGCCTGTAAGACAGAAGCCCAGGGGCAAGTCCTGGGATCAGACCAGTGGTGGCTCTCTGCTTCCTGTAGCCTCTACCACCTCCCAACCGCCTAGCGCTTACCCAGCACTTTGGAGCTAAACCAGCATCAATGAACATGTTAGGTCCTTCCTAAGACAGTACCTAGGCCTGTTGTACAGAATGGGGAAATTGAGGCATCAGAAAGGTTAGGTGAGTGTCTGTTCTTGGATTGGCAGGTAAGAAGATACAGTACAATAAGATGCCTATTGGGCCGTTTTTCAAACTGTAAAATGCAACCTACCTGTGGGTCAGACAGATCAACATAGTAGGTTTCAACCACCCATTAATTAAGTAAAATGCAACATAACAGAATGGCTTCCCAGCTGGCTCAGTGATAAAGGATCTGTCTGCAACACAGGAGATATGAATTTGATCACTGGGTCAGGAAGATCGCCCGAAGAATGAAACAGTGACCCACTCCAGCATTCTTGCTGGGAAATCCCATGGATAGAGGAGCCTGGTGGGCTACAGTCCCCTGTGTCCCAACAGAGTCAGAAACAATTTAGCAACTAAACAACAACAACATAACAGAATAGAAAGTATCAAAGTATATAAGTAGTAAAAGTAAATATTATTTTGTGAAAGGTTTATATATTGGGAAGTGGGGTATAAACTGTATAATAAATATGGTATACATATACCGTGGAATATTACTCAGACATAAAAAGAAACAAAATTGGGTCATTTGTAGGGATATGGATGGACCTAGAGCCTGACATACAGAGTGAAGTAAAAGAAAAACAAATATCATATATCAATGCATATATGTAGAATCTAGAAAAATGGTACAGATGGACCAACTTCCAGGGCAGGAATAGAGATGAAAACATAGAGAACAGACATGCGGACACAGCTGGGGAAGCAGAGGGTGGGACACATAGGGAGAGTAGGATTGACATTTACACTACCATGTGTAAAACAGATAGCTAGTGGGAACCCATAAAGCACAGGAAGCTCAACTCAGTAATCTATAGTGAGGGGTGGGTGGGAAGGAGGCCAAGAGAGAAGGGATAAATGTATATATAACTGATTCACTTCATTATACAGCAAAAACTAACACAACATTGTAAAGCAATTATACTCCAATAAAAAAGAAAGAAAGAAAGACGATGTACTTCTTTCTAGAAGTCAGGGTCAAAACAGTTTGGAAGCCACTGTGTTAAGACACTGCTGGGGTGTGAGACCCATGAGAGCAGGGATTATGTGTATCTCCTTTCCCCTCTATTCCCAGCACCCAATCTGAGGCTGACCACCAAGGTGATAGGGGAGGATACAGGGAGAGAACAGAGAGTAGGAGCTAAGAAGAGACCACAGCTCAGCATTGCCTCTTACTAGCTACTCACTAGGGCAAGAGACCTCAACTCTCCAGGCCTTGCTTCGTACATAGAACATGAAAATAATAACAGCCCCACATTCACAAGGATGTTCTACGGGACAACAACATAAGGCAGCACCTGTAAAACACAGGGTACTGTGCCTGCCATAGGGTAAGCGCTCGACAAATGTTAGCTATAAATAGTTCCTGGATAAATTAATTAAGAATAAACTTCACAAGCTTGGGCAAATCCCATGATGTCAGGCCACTAACCAGAGCCTGTTCTATCACTTTGAGTTTCCTCCCTCATACTGGCCAAAGGGCAGGCTGAGAACCCTTCCAAACACCCTGGCATGTGTCCCACCACCCTCTGGAGCTCTGTCTGTGTTTCCACCCAATCACTGAACAGGGGGATTGGAAAAGACACTAGAAATCAGTAAACGGGTTCGATCTTAGGTCTGCCACTAACCAGCCGTGTGACCTCAGATAAGTCATTTCACTCCACTGAGGCTCAGTTTCCCTCTCCCATTCAGCCTCGTCAGAGGGCTTAGATGACATGATGCTTTCAGTCCCTTCTTCCTCTGACATGCAGCAAACTCAGCCAGCACTGTGTGGACACAAGCCCACGAGGGATTCTTGCCAGCCTTGTGGGGGGACTGCCTGGAAAGCTAGAAAACCTCTCCTGAGACCTATTTCACAACATCTAGGCCTTCAGTCCAACGATCCCCCACAGCCCCAGCCACCCCCTCTCACACCACATTCAGAAGGCAGCTGAATAACACACACCGACATCCCAGAACAACTCATGTTAACATTTACGGAGTATGTACTGCATGTCATTAACCGCTTAAAATGAGTGAAACCTGACCTCTTTCGTGCGGAACCAAGACACCTCCAAGCTCACCCGCAGCCTCCACCTCTAGGGCTGAGGCCCTTGTCCCGAGGCTGTCTGGGGCTGGTGCACACTCCTGAGTGGAGGGACGTCCTCTGAGCCAGACCGTGGTCTCTGCAGAAGAAACAGTGGCCTTGCCTCTCCAATGGCCTTCACTGTGTGTTTTAAAGTGACAACCACACAACACAAACTCTTTGACCTGTAACTTTCCTGGTGGCGCAGACAGTAAAGAATCTGCCAGCAGTGCAGGAGACCTGGGTTCGATCCCTGGGTCAGGAAGATCCCCTGGAGAAGGAAACAGCAACCCACTCCAGTATTCTTGCCTGGAGAATCCCATGGACAGCCAGGCTACAGTCCATGGCATCACAAAGAGTCGGACATGACTAAGTGACTAACACACACACACACATACTGCATGTCAGGCACTGTAAGAAGCATTGTACATGGAATATTGCAGTCTTTCTGATTACAGTTCTATAATGCTGGAACTATTGGTTTTTTATAAATTACAAACCTGAGGCTTGGAGTTTTCACAAATGAGGAGCTCAGTCTTAACAAGTAAGAAATCAAAGGTTTGGAGAAATTAGGTAATTTGCCCAGAGTTGCAGAGCTCAGAAGGGGCAGATGTGAGATGCTGACTAGATGGCCTGACTGTGATTAACCTGATAAAATGGTAAGCTGTATTACATTCCATGTAGAGTGGGAATCAAGACAGAGAATCAGGACTGTGGAATAGAGTGTCCTGGGAAGAGCCACACTTGAGAATGCCCTGAGTGGGGAACAGAATGCTAGATAGGGATGCGGGAGGTGTGGGATGGATAGGTAGCATCCTGTCTTCCCAGCCCCTCAGGGGACTGGAAGCCATGTTTCCAGGAGAGAGACTGAACCACAAAGAGCCATCCATATTCAGAAAATCCTGAATCTGTAGCCTAAAACCTCTCCTGATGCTTGAAGTCCTTCTCCCTCTCCTGCCTGAAGAGACCTTACAAATAGCTGTGAAAAGAAGCGAAGAGCAAAAGGAAAAGGAAAGATATACCCATTTGAATGCAGAGTTCCAAAGAATAGCAAGGAGAGATAAGAAAGCCTTCCTCGGTGATCAATTGCAAAGAGATAGAGGAAAACAATAGAATGGGAAAGACTAGAGATCTCTTCAAGAAAATTAGAGATACCAAGGAAACATTTCATGCAAAGATGGGCTCAATAAAGGACAGAAATGGTATGGACCTAACAGAAGCAGAAGATATTAAGAAGAGGTGGCAAGAATACACAGAAGAACTGTACAAAAAAGATCTTCATGACCCAGATAATCACGATGGTGTGATCACTCACCTAGAGTTAGACATCCTGGAATGTGAAGTCAAGTGGGCCTTAGGAAGCATCACTACGAACAAAGCTAGTGGAGGTGATGGAATTCCAGCTGAGCTATTTCAAATCCTGAAAGATGATGCGGTGAAAGTGCTGCACTCAATAAGTCAGCAAATGTGGAAAAGTCAGCAGTGGCCACAGGACTGGAAAAGTTAAGTTTTCATTCCAATCCCAAAGAAAGGCAATCCCAAAGAATGCTCAAACTACCGCACAATTGCACTCATCTCACACGCTAGCAAAGTAATGCTCAAAATTCTCCAAGCCAGGCTTCAGCAATACATGAACCATGAACTTCCAGATGTTCAAGCTGGTTTTAGAAAAGGCAGAAGAACCAGAGACCAAATTGCCAACATATGTTGGATCATCGAAAAAGCAAGAAAGTTCCAGAAAAACATCTATTTCTGCTTTATTGACTATGCCAAAGCCTTTGACTGTGTGGATCACAACAAACTGGAAAATTCTGAAAAAGATGGGAATACCAGACCACCTGACCTGCCTCTTGAGAAACCTATATGCAGGTCAGGAAGCAACAGTTAGAATTGGACATGGAACAACAGACTGGTTCCAAATAGGAAAAGGAGTACGTCAAAGCTGTATATTGTCACCCTGCTTATTTAACTTATATGCAGAGTACATCATGAGAAACACTGGGCTGGAAGAAGCACAAGCTGGAATCAAGATTGCTGGGAGAAATATCAATAACTTCAGATATGCAGATGACACCAAGCTTATGGCAGAAAGTGAAGAAGAACTAAAGAGCCTTTTGATGAAAGTGAAAAAGAGTGAAAAATTTGGCTCAGAGCTCAACATTCAGAAAATGAAGATCATGGCATCTGGTCCCATCATTTCATGGCAAATAGATGGGGAAACAGTGGAAACAGTGGCAGACATTATTTTGGGGGGCTCCAAAATCACTGCCGATGGTGACTACAGCCATGAAATTAAAAGACACTTACTCCTTGGAAGGAACATTATGACCAACCTAGATAGTATATTAAAAAGCAGAGACATTACTTTGTCAACAAAGCTCCGTCTAGTCAAGGCTATGGTTTTTCCAGTAGTCATGTATGGATGTGAGAGTTGGACTATAAAGAAAGTTGAGCACCAAAGAATTGTTGTTTTTGAACTGTGGTGTTGGAGAAGACTCTTGAGAGTCCCTTGGACTGCAAGGAGATCCAACCTGTCCATCCCAAAGGAGATCAGTCCTGGGTGTTCATTGGAAGGACTATGTTGAAGTTAAAACTTCAATACTTTGGCCACCTGATGCAAAGAGTTGACTCATTGGAAAAGACCCTGATGCTGGGAAAGATTGAGGGCAGGAGGAGAAGGGGATGACAGAGGATGAGATGGTTGGATGGCATCACCAACTTAA